GCCTGGTTCCTCTCCCCTTCCCTCCCCCTCACTTGGTTCCTCTCCCCTGCCCTCCCCATTGCCTGGTTCCTCTTCCCTTTCCTCCCCTTGCCTGGTTCTGCTTCCCATTTGACATTTTCTTCCTACTTCTCAGAGTCTATCAAGATCAAACAACTTCGGGAGGAAAATTCCTCCTTGTCAAACCTGGCTTCCAGTTTTGGAAACTTTACTTGGCGGAATGCAGCAGTAAATGCTTGCTCCATGTGCAGGAGGCCGGCTTCAGCCCCAGCACCACAGATTTAAGCAAAAGAAAGAGAAACAAAATGTAGGCGGAGTTGTAATGTACTAGGGTTAAAAAACAAAAAACAAACAAACAAAAAAAAAACACTTTCTTTTAATCCTAAAACAGTTTAACTGTAAAATTAAACATAGCATTTTTGAAATTGCTTTGCAGTTAAATTAATTCCAAGACATTTCAGAAAAGTAAACTAAGTTAATCTAGGTTAGGCTTGAACACTGTAGTCCTATCAAATAAACAGTTCAGTAAGTAATCGTGACTGACCTGCAAGAGGACAAAATTATAACAATTTAAAGATCTTAATTGGTTTTATTTGCTGCTCTAGAGCCAGGTCTTGTTTCGTTCCATATGAGCAGAATCAGTGTTTTGATGAGTTGAACAGGAGCTGATTTTATAGACAGCAAAGGGCTGGGGAAAAGCAGAGGCAGAGAACCAAAAAGCACACCAGTCATTTTAAGTGCTTTATGGGGGGGGCAGGGACAGAACAATAAAAAATAACTGGTTAACATTAGGTTACTTTTGGGGGGAGGTGAAGATTAAAAAAAGAGAACTTTATTATCATATTGACTAGAACTAGCCTGCTCAGGAATTTGGCTGTCATCTCTCCTGATTGCCCCATCTCTCCTGATTGTCATCTCTCCAGGGTGACCTGGAGCCCTGGCACGGTGACTTCATTTTGATTTTGGGTTGTTGGGACGCAGGGCAGGAACATTATGCAAAACAATGGTCTCTTATTATTTTTACTTAGCTGATACAAAAGGTTAAGAATTTTTTTTAAGGTTAAGAATTTTTAAGCCAAAAAAATTTTTTTTTCTTTATTTTCTTTCCTTTTTTTTTTTTTTTTTTTTTTTTTGGTGGAAATGGGGATTGAACTCAAGCCCTTGTGCTTGCCAGGGAAGCACTTATCCTACTGAGCCATCTCCCTGGCCCTAAGCCAAAATTTTTGAGACCACGGGATAGCTGAACTAAAGCAGTTTACAGGACCGTTATAGAACAAGGGTCAGGACTTGGGGGCAAGTTCCCATAACTGCTAGCAGAAACGGCTGATAACAGTTACAAGTATGCTTACTGCACCTACGAGCCAAGAGCATTTCTATGATAGAGCCTGCGCCTGCTGTGGAGGCTGATCAGAAGGGCAGGAGACCGCGAACCCGGGAAAGCCGGGGCAGGGCAACCGGCCTGAAGGGTCTGTTGCCTCCGCGCTGGTCGGGGTCAAAGGCAGCGAAGCTCGCCGAGAACCGTGAGCCGCGCGCCCGGCCTGCGGCTGCGGGGGGACGAAAGGCAGGTCCCGGCCCACGTTCACGCGCGGGAGGCTTCCGCGGACCCCTGCTTGCCTCCCTCCCCTCCAGCCTAAGTTAAGGACCGCTCAGATTTTTTTCTTAGCAGAATTTGGCAGACCTTCTAGAGAGAGGCGGAGAAGCTGGGGTGGGGGCGGCGATTGGGAGAAAAATCAGTCTTAGTTGGCCAAAAGTAAGCCAAAGAAAAGAGACGTCCTTTCTGCTGTGCTCCGACGTGGAGAAGCGCTTCCAGATTCGCCTGCGTAGGAATCACACAGGGACCGTGTTGAGACACAGATCTGGCGGAGGACCGCGAGCCGGGCCGGCCAGCTCCCAGGACCCGGCGACTTCACGGGGTCGCGGGGCTGGTCCGCAGGCAGGCAGGCAGGCAGGCTGCGACGCGCGAGGTGGAGCGGGGCGGTTCCGGCCTCCGCTCGAAGTGGCTGCAGCTGCAGCGCAGTACTGCAGGAGCTTTGCAGCAACACGACCACGAAGACACAGCTACGCACAGAAGAGGGTCACTTAGCTCACGCTCTCGGACGTGCGAACCCGGGCAGGGCTGCGCTGGGGAGGCGGCGGGCACGCAGAAGGCGCGCGGGCGGAGGGTCTGCGTCGGCCTCCAGCTGTGCGGGCCGTGCGACGACGCAGGGTTCTGTGGCGGAGGAATTCCAAGGGGTCCCGTGGGAGCTGCTCCCCAGAAGGACACCCTGCAGAGCCTAGTGACCTCTCCCTGGACCCCATCTCCTGAAGATCGCACCGCCTCCCACCAGGGGCACCTTTACGATATGAGGGTCCAAGAGACATTCCATTAAATATGTCTTCAGAAAAAGCCTAAAGATCGGGAAGAGATTTTTTTTTTTTTTTTTTTTTTTTTTTTTTATGTTTTCATGGTCTCACGGTCTCACTATGTAGTTTGGGCTGGCCTTGAACTCACTATGTACCCCAGACTGGCTTTAAACTCAAGGCGATCGTCCTGCCTCAGCT